GGGGGACCCCTCCTCCTCAGATGGTCAGTGTGGTCTCTTGCTTCTGGGGAGAACAGCGGACATCTGTGTAGATCTCCCCCAGTTTGTGGTGGGCGAGGGGGATGGGCATGACCATCATCTCCTCTGTTCCCAGAACAGACCCAGGAGAGCATTCAGCGTTTTGAGCAACAGGCAGGGCTGAGAGATGCTGGCTACACACCCCACAAGGGCCTTACCACCGAGGAGACCAAGTACCTGCGAGTGGCAGAAGCACTCCACGTAAGCTCGTCTCTTAGGAACGTTAAGAAAGCCCTCCTCACTCATAGCTCGAGATGTGGCTGTGTGGCTTACAAGTTACCAGCGCAGCCAGCCGGGGGTTGTGGAGAGCAGTGGACAGAATTGGGTGAGCGTTTCAGAACTGGTTTAGTCCCACCCGTGGTGGCACTTTCTGGTTGAGAGCTCCAGAACTCTCAGCCTCTGGTTTCTGCTTATCCATCTGTAAAGTGGGGGTATCTGCCTTGTTGCCTTCTGGTCAGGGGGATCAGATGAGACTCTGAGCTTACACACATGATGTGTGTGAGCACGTTATGAACAATGGAGCGGGTACTTTGTGTACCAGAGTGACACTTTGAGGGAGAGAAGAGAATCAGACAGTCTCAACAGTTTAGCGGGAAAGGAACGTTATGCTCTATGTTTAATTTATTTTTAAAATTTTATTTATTTTGAGAGAGACAGTGAGTATGAGCGAGAGGCAGAGAGAAAGAATCCCAATTAGGCTCTGCACTGTCAGCATGGAGCCCGATGTGGGGCTCAAACCCACAAACTGAAATCATGACCTGAGCTGAAATCAAGAGTCAGACACTTAACCGACTGAGTCATCCAGGCTCCCCTAGTTTTTAAAATAGTAAAATCACAGGTAGAATTGAAATGTTTTTGCCCTTTCATTTCTAAAATTGGAATGAATGAAGAATAATTTTTGATGAGGTTAATGACTAATTGTATGAATGACATAGTTTCAAGGGATTTTCTGCCGGGGACTACTAGGTGGCACTTAATAGTGCTTTGTGATCTATGAAGCACTTGGATTCACTTAGTCTTTGTATTAATCCTTGGAGGTAGATACTGTTCTCCATATTTTATAAATGAAGAGACTGAGGCCCAAGGTCATATATGTAACCAGTCACAGTACTAGAACTCAAAATCTCCTGATTCCCTATTTCCCGGTGTTTTTCCCCCCATATTCCAAAGTTGTCTGGGAATCTGGTTCCTTAAGGGGTCATAAGAGGATCATGATGCACAGTATATGGTACTGGTGGCTTGTGGGTAAGGATATAGGACATTGTGGACTGTTTGCGTTTTGCAGTGAGCATCCCAGATGATTCTTTGCACCCTAAGTTTAGAAACCACTGCTGTAGGGCGTCAGGGTTGGGTTGGTGGCTCATTTAATCTCTCAGACGAGGCAGATAATTCTGGAGAGGGGCACTGTCCGTCTTTGAGAACTTTCCAGGATAGGTGTCAGTCAGAATTCCAGTTGAGCATTTTTTCCAGTTGGCTGGCCCATTTTCTGCATCTTGGCCACAGGAGTAGAACGTGAGGATGGCTGAAATGCCAGCTTACATAAATTGACATGTTGAGTGTGGGAGAACATTTAGACATGCTCATTTGTTTGGAATGTAGCTTGGGCTTGCTAGATAATGGCGCACAGAGACCGTGGTGGTGGAGCGGGCCTTGATCTAGAAGAACTGAAAAGTAGACTTGTCTCTCCCCTCCGAGACGGCTAGTCTGCATGTTAGGAACCCAGAGTGACTTTCCCCAGTGAAGGGAAAGGGGCAGGCTCCACATAAAAGCATTTAGCTGGAGAGGAGTAGCATGCCTGAGTCTTGGCTTTGAGACACCGGGAATGGCAGGGCTTGTACCCGGTAGGAGAAGCAGCATGAGTGTTCAAGGCCCTCCTTAAAAGGCCGAAAAGGCCTATAGCTTGTGTTCTGGTTTTTCACTTGCTGGCAAGTGGGAAAATTATTTCTCTGAAAGCAAAAGCTCTATTGCGGTATTTAATACAGAACTATTTGAGATATGTTGTAGAATGAATACATTCTCCTAAAGATGGAATTCTGTCTAGTACGGCAAAATCAAATATCTGTTCTATAATCAAAATTATTCTACGTATTAATGTTTTTCCTTTTGCCTGAGGTTAAAGTGTGAACCAAGTTATTTATACCCAAACTAGCTGTTTTGTATTTGCTGTCATTTAAAAAAAGTCCCTTCTCACCCATCTGAACAGAAATTAAAGCTACAGAGTGGAGAGATAACAAGAGAAGAGAAGCAGCCGGCCTCAGCCCAGTCCACCCCCAGCAGCACCCCGCACTCCTCCCCTAAGCAGAAGTCCAGGTGAGCCCTTGCTGGGAGCCTTTCGTGCTGCATCGTGCTTCCAGGAAGCTAGTGCTGCATGTGAAATTGGAGCTTAAGCCTGTGGTTTCAGAGGGAGCCGGGGGAGCTGACAGTTCTAGTCTTTTGGCATGAGGCACTTCTAGAGGTGTCAGAAGGGGATATAAGGATATGCTTTATTCTTTCTCTTCCAGAGGCTGGTTCACTTCTGGTTCTTCCACAGCCTTACCTGGCCCAAATCCTGGCCCCATGGATTCTGCAAGTGGGGACAAGGACAGAAACTTGGCAGATAAATGGAGCCTCTTTGGACCAAGATCCCTCCAGAAGTCTGATTCAGGTAAGGCAGCTCCTTCAAAAAAAAACCAAAAACCAAAAACAAACAAAAAAAAAACCCATGTGGATGGCATTTTACCATGTATATTGGGAGCTGCTACTAATTTTGAAATAATTTACTTTTTGGTTTACTTCCATAGGAGGTTTTGCCACCCAGGCTTACAGAGGAGCCCAGAAACCTTCTCCGATGGAACTGATCCGTGCCCAGGCCACCCGCATGGCTGAAGATCCAGCAACCTTCAAGCCACCCAAGATGGACATCCCAGTGGTGGAAGGGAAGAAACAACCGCCACGGACCCACAATCTCAAACCCCGTGACTTAAATGTGCTCACACCCACTGGCTTCTAGAGCTCTTTGTATTCCAGGGACTCTGGATAGAGGATATCTTGTATCCAATTCTCTTTTTACCTTGGCTTTGACATAGGAAAGGTTTCTTTTTTTTTTTTTTAACCTCTTAAACCGAGGCTAGAGCTGGAGATATAATTGGGTTTTGAGGAATGTTAGTGCAAAGCTTATCCTTGTGTGGAAGAAGCCATTTTGTATGGTTTAAAGTTAAATCCCAGCAGTGATGTATGGGGGACCTCATTACCCATTTTTGTATCATTTACCTTAGACAAGAACTTTGATCACTGCTTACTAGGTAAATAATGTTTGTGTTGGTCCAGAACTGAGGCTTCTTGATGTCTTTACCACTATCAACACGTGTGCATGGAGAAACCATGAAATAGATGTATTCACGAGCTAGTTTAGACTTTGGCCCTCTTGACTAGTGTACTTCTGTGTGTTCCAGCCTTGTCCGTGGGGCACCTGAGATCTATTTGAGCCAGACTCGGCAGGGACCCCTCTCCCTATGCTGAAACCGGAGCGTCCTTGCCTTTTGGTGGGCCTTACGGATCATGTCATCTTGCAGCCACTCATCGCCGGAGCGCCTCTTTGGCCAGTGCTGTTGGAGGGATGCTTCTCTTATGTGTCACAGAGCAAACACTAGTCTTGCATATCCTTTTTTGTGCTTTGAAAATGAGAGTAACTCACAATTCGGTTGAAAACTTCCTAAGGGAGGAAATTTAGTGTACTGGTTTGGTATAGATAAATGGATGTTAAACTTTTTTAGTATGGAAGGTGGTACCTACATTTAGATTATAGTCATTGAGGTTCATGTGAAACCAGTGTCACCCTATTTTGAATTTTTTTTTTTCCATTTTGATTTTCTTGTTCAGGCGAAGCATAAAACTTTTTTTTTTTTTCTGAGAGGTAGAAGAATTTAAAAATTTTCTATATGAAATCATTGTCCCCCACAAAGAGCTGCATACTTTTATAAATATGTAAGTTACTGAAGAACATTTATTTTTCCTCTCACCATGTATATGTTCAGTCATTGTTCTAAACACAATCTCAAATTCCCACTGTTTTATTTTGGATAGTGTCCTGTCTACATAAGGACCTGGGCTGACCTTTCCATAGAGAAGCCCTGGAGTCTAAAATGATCAGAATAATTAATTTATTTGTGTCTTCTGTTCTATATGCTTGTATTTCTTATTTGTTTTGACAATAAAAATCCTTAGTGCTTTCTCAAACGTGGATAGCTTTTTTTTGTTTGTTTTTTTTTGGGTTTTTTTGGTCCTTTTGAGAGTTGTTATTACATTCTGCCTACTCGCAGTCATAGAACCTAAGCATGGTAAACTTGGTATTTTGAAAAACCAGTGCCTTTTTATTGTATCCTTTTAACATCAAATTATTTGTAACACATTCAATCCTTTTGTTTCTGCCTCC